TCTTTATTTTACTTTTTTATTATTCAACATGGCTCTTTTTGTTTGTTTTTGTACGCACAATTAGTTGACAATCGATTTGTTATTTTAATTGTTTAATTTAATTACTTATGATGCTGTTTGTGTTCAACAAGCACTGAACAGTTTTAAGTGGTTTGAACTGATAGGATTTAAGTTTTTTTTTTAATTGAATTTAGTAATTTTAGTTGTGTGTTTGAGGTAATGCCCATTTAACTTACTGCAAGTGTGTGGGCCTCTATGGAATTGAGTGTATTATCATATTTACGTTAAACTATTGGAATACCACTAAAATAAAAATACTTAATTTACGTTTTCAAATATTGTTGTTACATTGAGCAAATTCTTTGTATACTGCTGTCGTAAGACATGTATATTTCAAAATATTTTAAGACTAATAATTAGTGTCATGTAAGAAACACGACACTAACACAACAATCATTTTACAAGTAATATAATGATCAACACTAACATTATCATTCCAACGCAAGTTAAATTACATTGTCAATTTTTCCTTTTCAACCCCCAAAGCAACGACGATCGGAATCACTCATCCAACATCATGTAGGTTTACTATGTAAAAACGACTCTATAGGCAACAAATTTCATAAAATTCAACAAAAGTTAAAATTTCTTTAAACGACTAAAGCAGATGAATTCAAAGCAAACCAAACAAACCACGCGGAGTTTATCAGAGTAAAGGTGTAAGTAACGATTCACGCCAGTTTACATGTGACACAAGTGTGAGCCAAGTTTCCAACTTTGACACCCCCCCTGCCCCCCCCCCTCTTACCCCCTTCTTGTAAATAGTTGAGATGTCTATAAACAACCCTCACACAGCCTGATAGCTCCCCCCCCTACGAGGGGGCTCCGTGGTTACAAACGTCAAGGGCCATTTATTATTTACATCGTCATTGTTGTCTTATTCCATTCGGTACGGTCCGTTTTACCGGTTCAGTGGTTTTAAACTTGTGCAGCTGGGGGATTGTATTAAATAATTAAAATGTTTGCAGTATGTTTGTCTGTAAATTAGATATTTTCTCCTGAAGGGTCTATTCATAATTTAGATTGCATTAATATGGTGAACTTTTAATGCATAGAGGTTATCCAAGCAAATTACAACTTTAAAATTTAATATCCAATTTTTAATATATTTTAACTTAAAACTATAGAATCACTCTTGACAGTTGATGTAATCAGTGACTTATGCAGTTGTGTTTATTCTCATATCAATAATCTATAAATAACTTCTTATATTCCATTTACTCACTCTAAATAATTATTTAGCTCGTTCATCTCTCCTCTTAAAAAAAGAGTTTGTTATTGTCTTTTCCTAAATTGGTTTTAGTTGTGGTGTAGGCTTACACTTTTCGTACGATGAACCGAATATATGTATATTTTAAACACCTAGTAATTATAGTTAATCTTAACATTATTTAATCTAAATTCCCAGTCTTGACACTATTTTTAACACGATTTAACACATTAGAGTTAAGCGTACAAGTGTGTACACATTTTTGTCAACAAGACTTAGTCTATAAGCTTACCTGGTACAAGGTTCTTAAGAGGTATCGATTCTACAAAGTTCGGTGTTGTTTTGGTGTTATGTTTCGATTAAGCGGTTAGAAAACGTTAAGACGCTTAAGACTCTGGTCTCGGGGTTAAGAGGGGCTTAGCCTCACCTGAGATACAACCACGCCTGTCGTCTCAGCGATATCGATAGATTTATCGATAAATTCTTCCATGTATCCACGTCGATATGTGTAAATACACGTGTTGCATTGCATGTTTGTTCACATCGCCTAACACTCGAAGCATCAGATCTTGGATCTATAGATTACTGTGTGATTTCTCATTTTCTACAAATCTCTCTCACACATATGGTGAAACTTTACCTTAAAATGTTGTAGCTAAATCTTGCATTGAATGTAAGTAGAGTTGTTTACTTTATTTTCCCTTAAAACTCTAACAATCGATAAATATGCCATCACAGGCTGTATTTACGTTGTTTTAATTGAAATTACAAGAATGATTATTACTAAATAAGTGTGAAGGACAACAGCAGTAAATTTTTATTTTTACTACATTGGATATTAACTAATGTGTACCATAATTAAGTGCTTCGCGAAAATCATCCTTAAATCAAAGAACCTAATTGCCATATTTTCCATATTTATGATGCGATTTTTTGAAGCTGGTTTCCTTTGTCAATATTAAGAATACTTCACAATTTGAAACTTCCCTCCTTCCTAACTGATAAAATCGCTAGAACTCGACGAGATGACAATTCAGAGGGGAGAGGTGGATAAGAAGATAACAAGAAGCCATCGCAGACTCTCTTGAACCGGTTAAGTTATTTATAATGACTATCGACCTGCATTATAAAAGTAGTCCGATTAGCCCTAATTAGCAAGTCCTTGGAGTAATTGGTGGTGAAGTCTGTAGCAAGCCGGGCCTCTCTCGGTCGTCTCCCGTTTTCCCCCGTCTTAATATTTTATCTCCCATTTGAGCGCTTTGTTTCCATCCCATGAGCATGTTTACTGTGTAATATGCCTGCATATGTGTAGGAAATTTATAGTTTTACTACAAAATGTACGGATGATTCTTAGTTCATTATTTGAATTGCAATCGTATTAGAGATTACTTTTCCGCATCGTGTATTATGTTTTTACGGAATTTGCACAATTTTACGACAAAACTGAATCTTATTCTTTAAGGGTTGCTTTATTAGTAACAAATTATTAAAACTTGGTTTATTTTGTCTTTTAGAAAGAGATATTGGTTGTGTTCTATTGCTTACGAATCATCCATCATTCACAATCCTGTAGAACCCACTGAAAGCTATATCACAATCACGTACAACGACTAAGACTTAATCGTTAATTCGCAACGAATCACACAAAACCCTTTCCTCGATCATAATTTGCTTAAAAATGTAGCTAAATATCGTAGTAATGTAGATAATAGTCACACAGTCATTACTTCGTAGTGTATCCAGCACCTATTATCGAAGAATGAAGAATTCAAAGCTCGAAAGCCATTAAAAATCACTATCTTCTCAAGGTGTCGGATCTGTCGGATGAAGCATTACATGTTGTATAGTTTGTATTTTTTTATTACAAAGGGGCTCGTACTAGTACCTAAATTGAGCGGTGCTGTTAAGAAATGAGAGTGGTTTCATGCTGCTGTAGTTGTAATATGTTGTTTAGTTATATTTATTGTTACAGAGGGGCTCGGACGAGTTGCTGAGCCAGACGGGTGGTGCTTTTGTTTCATGCTGTTGTAGTTAGTAGTGTATGTTGTTGTTTAGTTATATTTATTGTTACAGAGGGGCTCGGACGAGTTGCTGAGCCAGACGGGTGGTGCTTTTGTTTCATGCTGTTGTAGTTAGTAGTGTATGTTGTTGTTTAGTTATATTTATTGTTACAGAGGGGCTCGGACGAGTTGCTGAGCCAGACGGGTGGTGCTTTTGTTTCATGCTGTTGTAGTTAGTAGTGTATGTTGTTGTTTAGTTATATTTATTGTTACAGAGGGGCTCGGACGAGTTGCTGAGCCAGACGGGTGGTGCTTTTGTTTCATGCTGTTGTAGTTAGTAGTGTATGTTGTTGTTTAGTTATATTTATTGTTACAGAGGGGCTCGGACGAGTTGCTGAGCCAGACGGGTGGTGCTGTTGTTTCATGCTGCTGTAGTTGTAATATGTTGTTTAGTTATATTTATTGTTACAGAGGGGCTCGGACGAGTTGCTGAGCCAGACGGGTGGTGCTGTTGTTTCATGCTGCTGTAGTTGTTATATGTTGTTTAGTTATATTTATTGTTACAGAGGGGCTCGGACGAGTTGCTGAGCCAGACAGGCGGTGCTGTTGTTTCATGCTGCTGTAGTTGTAATATGTTGTTTAGTTATATTTATTGTTACAGAGGGGCTCGGACGAGTTGCTGAGCCAGACGGGTGGTGCTTTTGTTTCATGCTGTTGTAGTTAGTAGTGTATGTTGTTGTTTAGTTATATTTATTGTTACAGAGGGGCTCGGACGAGTTGCTGAGCCAGACAGGCGGTGCTGTTGTTTCATGCTGCTGTAGTTGTAATATGTTGTTTAGTTATATTTATTGTTACAGAGGGGCTCGGACGAGTTGCTGAGCCAGACGGGTGGTGCTTTTGTTTCATGCTGTTGTAGTTAGTAGTGTATGTTGTTGTTTAGTTATATTTATTGTTACAGAGGGGCTCGGACGAGTTGCTGAGCCAGACGGGTGGTGCTTTTGTTTCATGCTGTTGTAGTTAGTAGTGTATGTTGTTGTTTAGTTATATTTATTGTTACAGAGGGGCTCGGACGAGTTGCTGAGCCAGACGGGTGGTGCTTTTGTTTCATGCTGTTGTAGTTAGTAGTGTATGTTGTTGTTTAGTTATATTTATTGTTACAGAGGGGCTCGGACGAGTTGCTGAGCCAGACGGGTGGTGCTGTTGTTTCATGCTGCTGTAGTTGTAATATGTTGTTTAGTTATATTTATTGTTACAGAGGGGCTCGGACGAGTTGCTGAGCCAGACGGGTGGTGCTGTTGTTTCATGCTGCTGTAGTTGTTATATGTTGTTTAGTTATATTTATTGTTACAGAGGGGCTCGGACGAGTTGCTGAGCCAGACGGGTGGTGCTTTTGTTTCATGCTGTTGTAGTTAGTAGTGTATGTTGTTGTTTAGTTATATTTATTGTTACAGAGGGGCTCGGACGAGTTGCTGAGCCAGACGGGTGGTGCTTTTGTTTCATGCTGTTGTAGTTAGTAGTGTATGTTGTTGTTTAGTTATATTTATTGTTACAGAGGGGCTCGGACGAGTTGCTGAGCCAGACAGGCGGTGCTGTTGTTTCATGCTGTTGTAGTCGTTATATGTTGTTCAGTTATATTTATTGTTACAGAGGGGCTCGGACGAGTTGCTGAGCCAGACGGGCGGTGCTGTTGTAGTTGTTATATGTTGTTCAGTTATATTTATTGTTACAGAGGGGCTCGGACGAGTTGCTGAGCCAGACAGGCGGTGCCGTTAGCAATGGAGGCGCTATGAGCCCTCAGCCCAACCACACAGACAACAACAATGACGCCAAAAAGGTGAGTCCTCCATCATTTTTTACTAGCTGTATAAATATATATTTTGTAAGTGGAAATATTTTAAACTTTATGATTACTAAATACTAAACAAAAATATGTTAATGGTCAATTTCTACTCGGTGTAACGTGCTCTCATAGATTGTCCAAATATTATATGCTTGGGTACATCAAAGAGTCTTATTATCTTGTAGCTTTAATTATTTATTATTATGCAACTGTAAGGCAACTTTTAAAAACCCAATTATTTGTTGTTCAAAATTACTATTGTATCGAATAAATAATTCGCAATTAAAATAACCATTAATACACTAAATAAAGCAAATATTCATCAACGAAACCCCTGAATACAATGGGCGACTCAATATATTTAATTACACTGGCTACGGCGACAAGAGCGTAAAGAGGCACAGCATTGACAGGACCATTGTCACATTGTCTACAGCTGTGGTATTGTAACATATCAATCGTGCCAATGCAGGAACCCTGTAGCAATACAAGACAATGCCCATTGCCCACCTGTTGGAACCGTATTGATGTTACGATAATTAGTGTAGCCCTTTGAAGGGTTCAAACGTAAAGAATGGGGCTTTCAATCGTTTTCGGTGCGGTTTTAGTACGTGCAATGCTGAGGATTTTAACAAAGGCTATTGTTGGTTCAACATTGAATGACATGATTTGTTAATTTTCTTACTGAAGTGGTTATTTATTTATATAACCATACACTCATCTCCATTCATACTTGGCTTAAAATACCTACTTTGTAGGGTCGCCATTTCAATGAAAAGTATTAAAAGTATTTAAGTATTAAAAAGTTATATAAATTGTTTATGTATTATTTTTAGTTTCAGTCTTTTTTATTGTAGTTAAGTCCATAAAGTACAAGGTTGAGCAGAAAAAGTTGATCCATAGTAGGAACTAAATGGTAATAGGGTTAAAAAAAATTATTACCTTGTCTTGTGTCTGTGTCATTCACCTCATAAAGACCGCTAATTCTATTTAGGCGTATCTTGTAACCACATTACATTCCTTCGGACTCCTCACTCGCCCTATGATTTTGTGTATTGCACATAAATTAATTGAATTCATCAAACAGAGGTGACAAAAAATAAAAAAAACTAAACCTTAAAAAAGGAAAGACGTGCAATAAGCTAATAATTCGCAATGCATGGCAAAATTAAGCTCCATGCCTCCAACAGCCATTAAATGTTCAATTTTAAATCATTACAGTGCGGAGTTTGAATCTTCTATGGTGGTCAGTTGATGAACGCAATACGCGGGGTTTAAATATCGCTTATAATTATGTAGAAAGAAAAAAAAGTAAATTAACGTTCAGTTTTTGACCGTCCCACGATGATGTGCGTAAAAATGTCGTATTGTACAATAATCCGTGCAAATGCATTGCTATGTCAAATCTACCGGTACTATTTGTCTCTCATACTTGGTTTTTGTACGCTGATAATACAAAAAGCGCAAGGAAGTAAAATTACAACATTCTAAGTAAAAGCTTTTAAATACATTCTAGTAAGAAAACTGAAATACAAAAACATCCCGAAAAAAAACTTTCGTTTCTGCGTGTAAATGGCTAAATGTTTGCGTATGTTGACAAGCTTTACATTTTCCCCATAGAATCAACTTCTTGGATATCTAGAATGTTAAATTATTTATACATTTCCAAATCACTTAGCGGAATAGCAGGACATCAGTAGCAATGTTGCCAGCGTTGGCCGGAACTTGGCTGATTGAGGCCCCATCCTATACATAACACATGAGCCAGTCCCTTTGAATAATATTTTACCTACATTCCTCCCTTACATAAACAAACACGGAATCACATTCTGATGCATCCATACGTCTTCGGAATATCCAAAATGCGCGTTTGATGTCGGAAACGCCCCGACATGGAAAACAAACGGCTTTTTACTGGAAACCTCTCACTTTAGCGCTGCTCGCGTATAATACACGTTTGTTATGGACGATTTGTATGCTGTTGTGAGAAGTGTTGCCGATTTTTTATATATTTACTTCTCGGTTTGAAATCGTTGAAGGTTGTAGAGTACACAACCAAAGTCCAAAGTTTATATAATATTTCCAGGTATTAATGTTTCACGCAACAAACCACCCTATATAATATCTTTTGTTGTACCATAATCTAGTGTATCATCCGCACGATATGAAATTATAAATTATTATTTCAGTGAAAATGTTCGTGTATCGGTGTGAGACTGCAGGGTTCGTTCCCTGGCTTATCCATAAATATGTGAGGTAACTAGAGTTTGATTGTTTATACAAAAACCACTGGATGGAAAAAACAAAACCTCGTGACGGTGATTTGTTTAAAAAATTTTTAAACTTTTGAAGTTATTTAAGAAATGCCTATTTATTAAAAAATATTCTAAGAGCTAAAATGTGAAGGTCTGATTAATTTTGCAAAAATGTTAATTAAATCTACCCAGAATTTGTATCACGTAATTTGATAAGCTTACTACATTTTTGTACCTTATGTAAAGTAATTAACATACTTTTAAGCTGTTCCCCGTGTCCCCGTGTAATCGTATCGACCAAGTAAGCTGGCGGCTGCTACAAGGGAACGCCGTGTTGTGTAATGGTAACTCCTTCAGGCGCTTGCCGATACTCGTCACTTGCCATACAAGGATTATACATTTTTATATCGTTTCAGCGTTATAGGATAGGGTAGTGACCGGAAAAATTATGTAGTGATTTTATGTATCTTGTATTAAACCTTAAAACCAATATCAGTGCCGCAGAGGAAATACTTTTGTTGTTGTTAACTTAACTTAGTGTAACTTAGACTAAAGTTCTTAAATTAAAATCAGTACATTAAACAAATGTCTTTTAACCCATGTTATACAATTAATATGACTGATTTCAACTTTTACTGAACCCATTAATATAGAAAATTCTGATCGTATCATGACTGAAGTAACCCAACTTCAAAACTAGGTAGATTTAAGACACTTCATTGTATCTGTGCCTTACAGAAAAAATATGTTCATAATTACTATAACTTTAACTAGTTTGAAGACCTTAATTGAGTTTTATTGCGTTAAATGAAAATTATTTCGTTACAACCTCATTAATATAACTGGATGAGTCTTACTTTTACTGATTTGAAAGAAAATAAACCTCTCTGACCGATTCTAATTGAGGTAAAAACTAATTGAACGTCAGATTACACAACAACATATTAATAACAAAAGAATTTTTCTTTTTTCTCTTACATGATATATTTTTTTTATTTAAAAAACAATATTCTCGCATTTGCCTCTTCATTGTGTAAAAGAGCTAAATATTAAAATCCATATAAAGCCCTACACAAAACAAAATTGTGTCATATTTTTAACTTTCATCCCAGCTTTAGGCAATACGTTCGGCAGTAGTGTTCATCCTATCAGGGAATTATATCGAATTGACATATAAGCCAAATCAATTTGTTTTTACACCACGCGGCGAGTCCGTATTAAATGTCGACGTTTGAAGTCTTTATTAGTTGAGTAAAACCGGGGTCCCAGTAATCAAATCTGGATTTTCACTGCTTTAATAAAGCCTCGGCTTTTGGAAAATCCGTCAATTCCCCTCTCATTGTCACATCGCGAATCAAAGTCTAATGAATCCCTCCCTCGTGGACGAAGCCTCTCCCAGGTGGGGTGGTGGGGGGAGGGGGGAGGTGGACAAGTTTAAGTAATTAGCGAGATAAGATTTTTAACTTTTAATATCATAATTATTGAGGCAGCTTTTCGAGTGGTTGGTGTCAGGCTTTGAAGTCCCCTCCTCCAACTCTTTCGCCTCAGTCGGGAAAATGTCTAAAATTTACTTTAAATAATTATCCCGCAATACGCACCACAAAGTATTAGGGCATTTAACCTAGTAATATTTTTCTAAGAATCATTTTGGATATCAAGTAATCATCTTTGTTTACTATGGAAGGTTTGAGAGGGTATTGTGAAGCAAATTTCATGTTAACATGGATGTGAAATTAAGTAATCTAAGCTGATGGGAATTCATACGTTTCATCTGTGCCATTTTGATGGTTATCGAAGTGTATTGTATTTATAAGCAATCGTATACGAGAATCAGGCAAAATAGGTCAAAGGTAATATAGAATAGCAGAAGAATAATTTACATTATTGTTTTGTATGTGGCAATTATATAAATGAAGGTTTTTGTACGTATTGACCTTGTACCCATAAAAAGGAGTACATTTCGCAAGGAAAGATAATTCTTTGATGAAATATTTCAGCGACACGTCGATTTATAATCTTGCCCATTCGGGGTGGATTAATATCAAATTACAAAGTGAAAAAGACTTAAAAGAAAAGGGTTTCGCCTGAAATGGTGTTTAATATCAATTAAATAAAAATACATTTATTTTACATCCCAGGAAAATATCAGTTTGTTTCACTGTCAAGTTTTTTGCGTGAGAGGGGTCGGGTAATACAGTTAAACTGTAAACTTAAACAGTTAATCCAAATTGTAAAGAAACTCATGATCGTCCTGTTTAATTTAAGGGCGCGCAGTAAACAAAAATCACCGCGTTGACATCTTTATCGCGGCATAAACCGGGATAAAATTTATCGCGTTCTTCCACTTCCCTTTCTAGAGGATAGTTGCATCTTTTAGAATTCAGAACTTATTTTAGGTATTGATGAACAATTTTAACATTTGGTCAACTTGTATTTAATATTCCTTTACGCGATCACATCCATACATTAGATCCTTCGAACAGGGAGATCTTCTCCTCGTATGATAGTAACTGTAACTGATTACTGAAGCAATCACAAGTGTCGAGGCGATTCCTAACAAGACATGGACAATCACCAGTTTCAAGCCACTTGTACTACAAGGCTTGTAGTTGCTTGTACGGTGGGCGGTTACAAGCCATTACGAGGTATTAATTATAGATACACATCTGAGCGGAACAGTGGCATACACGCAGATGCTAAAGTGTTATGTCTTCGTGAAGGCGTGCAAACATAGGGGTT